GGGCCTTAGTTCGCCTGAAAGCTTTTCATACTAACAGGATTCGGAGACGGTTTACCTTCGAGCTAGCTCGTTTTCTGTCCATGCAAACTCGCGATGTGTTCAAACGTCACGGGATACTGATCGACCAACTTCCACCAGGGCCAATCGGTTGGGATCTCTGCGACAACGATCGTAATGAGGGTGATTCTTTTGGGAGTGACGAAGACGAAGGAAAAAAAAAGGGAAGAAAGGAGGACGACGATGGAGGAGGAAAACATGAAGGAGTGGAAGAGAGCAAAGGGTTTGAGCCAGATGACCTTCCCCAAAAGAAAAAACGTAGGACTAGGGAAGAACTGCACAGAGATTCTTGTCAAAATGAGGATCAGAATGATGGTAGCGAACACAAGGAAGATAATCGTGAAAGTACTCCAAAACGAACTCGAGTACAAGGTAGTTGCCTTGGTAGACACGTGCGGTTTTCTTCTGTTGCTGCTGTTTCTGTCTTTATTCCGAAGGATTGTTTAGCCTCCCCCATGCTGCCCCCTCACGGGGTCCCAGTTCATGGCAGATAAAAGTGTTAGTGTCTTAAACCGCACTGAGACTGACGTCTTTTCATTGGTCAGCCGGTTAGCGCGGTCGATGCTAATATTAAAAAACACACAAGAGATCCTGGCCCAGAAAACGGCGGGGGTGATTCGCCGACATCCACGGCGAGAGCTATTTTTTTTCGTGTGTTGTCCTGAACAAACGGGACGATAACACACACCCGAATTATTAACACCCACAATCGCAGTGGTCGCACGAGTGGGCCAGCTGGTAATTTCTCAAGCTTCTGTTGAAGCTTCTGTTGAACCAAGAACTACAACCTCAGCGTTGTCTCACGAATTGGGATTCTCAAGTGGTGTCCACGAGCAGCCGTGAAACGCACCAGCCGGGGTCAAAGAGGCGGAGGCCACACGGTTCGTTGATTTATTCTCCCGCCTTCCTGTGGTTGCCATAGTTACAACGCGAAGGATTCGGTGACCCCCTTCCCTTGTCGTTTGTTTGGACAACACCACCACCACCAACAGCAACAAACCACCAACAGCAACAACCCGATGATTCCGCATGTGCCCATAGTTTGACTTTCGCTCGACTAGGGAAGGGGGCCGTTGAATCCTTTTCGCGATGAAATTATGGCAACCACAGAAGGAAGGCGGAAGAATTAAAAACAATCAACGAACCTGCTGTGTGGCCTCCCTCCACCTCTGTGACCTCGGCTGGTGCGGCCATCGACGAGCCAACAGGTGTAGACAAGCAATCAAATTGACGCCCAGGATGATGTGATGACACACACGCACAATGTGACTTCGTTACCTGAAGCATCTACTGGCTACATAGATCTTGTGTCGACAGGCTCTTCCATTGCAACCTTTCCAACCCTTTCCACTACTCCGCCCCACCCCTTTCAACCGTTGAAAAACGAAACAAATCGGCTTATATCCCCTCCTCTCCTCCTCTCTTCACCGTTGAACTCGCGATGACTGTACATTCCAATGCACACCGGCAGCACCAATGCTGTTCGGCGTTCTCCTTGACCGCGCCGCGCACCGTTTCTGGGAGAGGCAATGCGCAGCATACCGTGAGGCCACGACGAAGGCAGCGGAGCTACCAGCACCAATCGAGCATCGTGGGTCTACGTGCGCCCCTTGCGACTGCCAGCAGCAGCAGCAGCAGCAGCAGCAACCCTGCTTTTAGCGATCGCTCGGCGTCGGCGGCAGCAAGGGGGAAGCACGGGCGAGAGCTGCGTGCCCAGGATTTTGACACCGTGGAACAGCGGGTGCGACTTTGGATATTGTACAGTTATTCTATGCAACAGAAAACCATGATGGATTCCGTCGAAATCGCGCAATAGGGAATCAGAACTAAATATGCAAATGTTGCCATGCTCACGGCGGTAGACCCCAACAATACCGCTGTACACACCTACTTTATTGAAGTATTTGAGAGAGCAGATCGGAAGGAATAGGCAGACACCGCACCGAAGAGCTGCACGCTCAGGATGTCAGGCTTTGCTAGCGGTAAGTGTGACTGTGCTGAAAGCGCCGAAAACTCCATGGCCAGGAGGAACCGCTAGCCTTTTGTCTACACCGATGTAAACAGGAGCTCGCTGCTTTCTTGTTGTGGATAGTATTACGTGCCATGAGCATGAATAGCAGCAGCAGCATTAGCACGAGTACGTGGGGAATCCGGCCGCGCAAGAACTACGCAGGCTGGGGTGCGTCCTACGCTCCTCTTGTAGAATTTCGATCAATATTCTGGAATCGGTGGCGTTATTTCGGCATTGCACGATCAAATCAATCAACGGAGAGGGTTTGGCAGCTTGTAACGGCGTTCGGAAGTGCGTAGCTACGCGCTGTCGTTCGCTGTCGTTCAAGCCTTCCGCATCCCTATTTCTGCTGCTGTTGCCTACGCCCACGTGCGAACACGTGGCCACTGCCTGAAATCACAGGAGGTTGACTCGGGCCCGAAAGACGAAAGCGATAGCACCGCCACCGACTCCAGCAAGCAGGCGGGCTTCCAGTGGAAGAGGCAGTGGTACCCTGTGGCTGTCATGCGGGACCTAGAGGCCAGGGATCCACGGAAGCCGTACCCTGTCCAGGTTGTTTTTTTGCTCTCTTTTTCATGTGCCCACTCCCTGTGTTCCGTTGGGCTTCTAGTTTGGGGGACGGAGATGAGTCTGTTGTGGACCACCCTAGGTCACCCCTAGCTCGGTCGCCCTTTGCAAGTACTTGTGTTAGTTTGAAGCGGTTCGAGCGCGAGCGGTGATTTTATGTGCTGTTTTGGGGGAACGTGCGGCGGGGAATTCATTCACTTTTGTACGGCCGAGCGCTGTTGAAACCGTGCCTGTACACTATTGATATACATTTTCTTTCACGTGGTCGATATCTAGTCCTTAGTAGTCGGAGTGATGCTGTGTCAAACAATCCCCTCCCGCACTATATGGCTCTGGACGTACTCCCGCGTACCCTTGCTCTATTCTGCACCACCTCTGTTCGACCCGGTCTGCAGCTTATGGGAGAAGGATTGGTGGTATGGAAGGACCCAAAGGATGGTGGATGGAAAGCTTTTGCCGACAGGTGCCAGGTCGAAGGACGATTGTTGTTGTTCTTGTTGCAGCGCTGATGATGACGTGTTTTGTGCCAGCGCTTTTTGGATGCGGTGCTGTAGATGCGCTGTTGCCGCGGCGTTGCGGTTCGTTGTTGGTAGAAGGCACTGAACGTTGTCGTTGGCCGACTTTGTGGTTACCTTTGCGCGCGACCCGTGGTCCACTCTCCCCGCTCCCTACGAACAACACGAAAGTCACGTCATAAATATCGCGCTACTTGTTGTTGTTACCGCTAGAAGGCAGGCGACAAATGTGAACGCCTGCACCCCCCACGGGGGCATGTACATATGCTGCGTCCCTGCAGACGGGAAAACGACGCTACCGACCAAGACACGACACGTGATGTGACGGTGGTGGTTGGGCAGGGTAGGGTAGTGACCGGCGAGTTGGTTAGTACAAATCGAAGGACACGGGTGGGGCACGGCGGGGTTAGGGATGGGGCTGTTTGGATGCGGGTAAGGTCGGGTGGATGGTGGCGGGTGGCCAGTGGATCGGGACTACGCCCGTCATTCTAACGCAACGAATTGTCCCTCAGGATGATATCTAGTGATGGGTTGGGGCAAAGATGATCGGTTTTGATTTGGCGAACCTTTCTCAGGTGTCCGCATCGCTGGGCACCGCTGTCGGAGGGGCGGGTCGATCAAGAGAGCGGGCGCTTGCAGTGCATCTATCACGGCTGAGAGTTTGAAGGGTGAGTGAGAGGACTACAAGGGAGACGAGGAGAGAGAGAGATAGAGAGAGAGAGAGAGAGAGAGAGAGAGAGAGAGAGAGAGAGAGAGAGAGAGAGAGAGAGACAGAGAGAACCCACGCAGGACGAGGGACCTCGCTGCGATGCTGGCTCGTTCACGGGTTTACCCAGCGGAATTTCCACATCGCTGGCATCTGCGTAGCGTACTTGACAAACGTCGCGCGTTCATCCATCAATTTTTCGTCACCTCCGTAACCTTGACAACAACCGACTCTTTGTGGACGGTTTTCTTCTGCCACCCCATGACCAGAGACGGAAAGTGCGGGAGCATTCCCCAAGCAACACCGGGGAGTCGCGAGACCGCGCAGAGTTCGAAGAGGTAAGTTTAGGGACACGAGGGACTTTTGCTCGTAGGTGTTTAAGAAATCTGATCTATGTCCCGTGCCAGGGGGCACGCGGTGAAGGCGACGTCCAGGCGCCGTCAGCGTGTGCGTGTGTACGATGTGTCTTCTTTTCGTCGACACCGCGTACCAGCTCGAAGAACGGGAATGTGCAGTTGTTACCGGACAAAGTCTCGTGATTTTCATCAGAGGTCTGCAGAAGGAAAGCGGGCAGCAAGAGACTACCAATAGCGTCAGCATGGGGAGGTGTATCATTGGATAGGTGGAAAACAAGTTTCAAGGCACTGCGCCCGTGTACGTCCGCTAGTTTTTGTTTCGTTTTGTTGCGCCTTCCGGAGAAGTGAAGCCGCTTGTTTTCGTGGAAAGCGTGTGGTACATCTGATATTGCTCTCGAACGAAGGTTGCAGACGAATCTCGGTGGTCATACGGTACGTCGTCACCCCACCCCCTCTCGCATGAGGGTCTATGCGACACGCACATCGGTCATGTATCACAACAAGGGCTTGAACCTCTTCGCTTCTATCATCCTTGAGTACGCACCCACGTTCAATGTGCACCCCCTCCCGCCCCCTCTGCCCGCCCCTTCACATCGTCTTGTCGCCGAAGTAAGGCTTGCGCCACAGAGTCATCCCAACCTAGCCCCGCCCCCCCCCTCCCGATATCAACGAGTTCCCCGTCCCCCTCCTATTCGTGGGTTTTCTCTTCCTCTCCCCCTGCACAGGGCTTGCGCGACGGCCATCCCGACCAAGGTAGTAGAGGGCAAGCTGTGGTTGTGGCTGGACCCCAGCCCGGAGGGCGTCAAGGAGAGCGAGACCGTTCCGCCCGCGACCGTGCCCGGCCTCGACTTCGGTTCGGGAGACTTCGGCGGCAACTGGTACTGCCGAAAGTTGGCCTACGGGTTCGACACACTCATCGAGAATCTCGCCGGTGCGGTTCATGAGTGGTGGTCCGGTGTTTGGGTGGTTCTGATGTGCTGTTCTCCAAGAAGTTCCGGCTTGACATTCGCTTTCGCAAACAAAATCATGCGGTGCTTGTGTAAGCCTGCAGCGTGCTGGCGCATGGTCGGGTCGGAGTCCGTTCTCGAACGGGTTCTACAAAGCTCGCCGGTGGGATGGATATCGGAGACCTCGTAGTGATGTTGTCCTTTTCGGTGTTGTTGGTGGCGACTCTCATGGAATGCGTACATCTTCGTGTTTTTCTTCAGAGTGTTGGTTAGGAAAGGTAGATGGTATCGCAAATTTACGATAGCTACTTGTACCATCACTTCTGGCAAACAAGGGGGGCGTCCACCCATGGACAGGTACGGACGGCATCGGAACCCCTGGTAGGTGAAAAGGCAGGTTGTTCTGTATTTTTTGCATGGGTTCGTGGTTTTGAGTCCGATGCTTGATTTTTTTTTTGTCTGGATGTGAAAGGTTTCGATACGCGAAGGGGGCGGTCTGATAGGAATCGCGATATTGCGCGTAGTATGTCGGAACGCTTGTTGTGGTGTACTTCGTATTTGCTTCTCGAGCTCTCAGAAAGAGAGAGAGGGAGAGAGGGAGAGAGATGTGTTGATTACTAAATGCGCCCCACAAACTAACGGTAGATCCGTCAGTGATCTCCAGGTGAACGGCTGGCTTAAATTGACTAATGTGCTGATTGGCATTGATGTTGATGGTGGGTGGGTTCGATGCACGTCTCCAACATTCAGCACCGCACCGATAGGTGACACGATGCCCCCGCCCTCCTCCTCCGCCCTCGGAACGCAGACCCTGCACACGTTCCTTTCGCCCACCACGGTGTGATGGGAAGCCGTGCCATGGGCACCCCGATGGCGATTGAGATGGACAAGGAAGCGGGATCAGGTGTGCCATGGCAGGTAGCCATCACACGCAACAGCTGGGTTACGCGTACACGTGTAGTGATAGAGGACTAAGAACATGTGCCCTGGGGGCAAGCTGGGCAGAATACCGTGCCTAGGCTACGCACATCAGCATGATGAACAACCAGCAAGCCCACCCGTTTGCCATGGACCCAGGCGAGGACGAGTTTGTCACGAAGGGGACGGGGTACGCCGGGAGCAACGTGATGCGCGTGGGTTTCAAGGCGCCGGGTCTCATCTACTACGAGAGCGACTACACCGAGGTGCCCATCAAGTGTTGCCACATGAGGCGAGACTGGCTCAAATGAGTAACAGTCGAGGTCCCTGTTAAGTACCGGTTGAAAAATGCCGGTGCTTAAGTATAGTGCTGGTGCTTTCGGCGGTCACACACTGGATTCCCAAGTCATTCTCTCAATACTTGGAATAGCGCCGGTTCGGTATATTGCCGGTCAGTTTTCTGGGCACATACCGGCACGAACACCGGGACCTCTACTGTTAAACCGGGAAATGCTCCTATCACCCAATAACCATTCCTCAGAATTGTTTTCTATTTTCGTGTATTCCATGATAGTGTCGTTGACCCTAGCGCCAATATGTGACATAATCGTAGCAGTAGTTACGAGGTCCGGTCTGGTGGGAAAGGTCGCGCCTTGACACACCTCAGGAGACTCTTGGGCGATCAATTTCTCGACCCCTTGAGGCGCACTCTTAAAATGTCACCCTTGTTCATGGCATGAAGCTGTATTATGTTTGCACCCCAAAGCTACCGTACGATCTCATCACCGTCGAACCGTACGTACATTCCAACAGCGGTGTTCGGCGCTTCCCCACAACACAAACCCACTCTTTCCAAAGTGAACTCCACCAAAATCTCGTCGTTAACAATGACTCCATTTGACCCTCTCCCACCTCCCCACCTTCAAGGATGCTAGACCAATGGTCTAACGACTATGGCATGCCCTTACATTAGTACTCCCCCCCATCCCCTCCTTTCCCCCTTGTCGAAGTTGGCAAAATTCGACCCGGCTCTCCGTTGTAAAGATGCGAAAAACGTAGGGTTTATTCCCGTGTCTCCCCCTCTCTCCTGTTTGACCCCAGAGAAACGGAAAGCATTGTCGATGGTCGAACGAACAAAGTCGTGCAACGAATGGGTACGTTTCCCCGACCCCCCTCTCGCCGAAATGCCTTCCGGTTGTATGATATGTGTGTTTTTCGCTCAGACGCTGGGCACGACTGTGAAGAGACTGGCCCCGCCCTTCCGGGCGATTTACTGGTTGATGACCAAGCTGAAGATCGACAAGAGAATTTCCATGAAGGTACAGTCGTGGCCTCGACACACCGCGGTGTAATGACAGGCAAAAGTCACCGCAGTATATCGGGACACCGCACTATTTGAGTGTTGGGGAGTATTTAGATTGTACTAAAGTAACCCAATGCCGTGACGAGCGATATTTCCCGCGGTGTATCGGGACCCGAACTACTCGGGACTGCGGTATCTCGGGGCCATCTCTGTGATCAATCGGGCTCAAACACAGTCACTACTTGGATCAACGAAGCGTTTTTCCCGTGATCAAGGTGGTACCGTGATGTGTCTTTCCTGTGCCTCTCGTTTTTGTAAGTGGGTAGATGGTCTTGTCAGGGTTTTGGACTCATTTGAGGCTCGTCTGTGGGGGCGCCTCTGCCCTTTCGGCAGGAGGAAGAGGAAGAGGTCATCGGGAAGGGAAAAGTTGTGCAT